AAATTAACGAAAAACTGCATCCAACAAGGGGTTTTGACGAAGTTAATAGACTTCGAAAGAAGCCCTAATTAATCAACTCTTACGCGACAAACTTTTTTGGAGACTAAATGGAACTTTTCTTGTTTTTACCCACATTGGGGCCCCAGAACCCACACGAGGAGTTGTCATTCAAGTACCTGGCTTCCTACTCTGCTAGTTTTTGCAGGAAACGGTTTTTGTTTTTCGTCGAAAGGTCGTAGGTCGTCCTGACAACGACGGATTGTTTTTTTTTTTTTAAAAATTACACTGTGTCCCAGGTGGATCCAGCGTTGAGTGGATACCAGTTTTAGTCATAGGAAGTCAAGGGGCCGGCGTAATATTGACCACATCACACACCTAGTGCTGACTGGTCTAGAAAATGTAGGTTTTAGATGCTCCGCAGGCGTCGAAAAGGGTCCTTTACTTTCTTTCTTATTTTACAGGGTGGGACTCTAACCCCAGCCCAGGGCCTTTGTTTGTTCTTATCAGGGGTTTGGACCAGCAATGGTGGATTCATTGATAATGTGACATGATTAACTTACCTTAGGATTTCTTATGCTTCTTCGATGTGTATTTCTTTCTAACGATTTGTTCTCAAAATGTGCTGAAAAGTGTTGGAAGGAGCGCTTTTTCTATTTCCCGAGCGCGCAGTGTTCTGTGAAACATCATCATCATCATCATCATTATCATCATCATCATCATCATCATCATCATTATATACTGTGTTTTTTTTATGATTGGTGACATCACAGCCTATCTGAAATAAACTTACTCCTAAACCGGCTCAAGATCTTTCTTGTGTCCTGTAGATACCTTTTTGATGGTCGTTTACTGCCTCTCTTATTTTGTACCACGCCCTCTAATACTGTTTGTCTCCCAAACCATTGCGACGTGTGATATGGCCAACGAATTTTAATTTCTGAGACAATTTGCTGTTTATGAACCAATTCTCATCGATGCTTATTGCTTTATAATATCGGTGTTTTTCTCCTACACTTTTTTTTTAAACAAAGTTGTTACAAATCATTTTTTTTTTTTTGCGGACGGTAATCTCACTGTGTTTAAGAAATGCAGTGTGTCAAAAAAAAATCTTGAATGTTGAATTAGGTACTGACATCACAGCACTCGGCACACTCCCGTAAGTGCTCAGTCCCCATCTTCAGCAGCAAGCGAAGAGTTCCGATTCCGATGGTACCAGTAACCGTCTGATTGTATATTCGTCTCATCCTTCCCCTGAGTGTTAAGCGTCGGCCAGATCTGCACTGTGTAGCTACACAACTAGGAAAGCCACTGCTAAGATACCCTAGGTTCATGATTATTTCCCAAGCGTTAATCATAATATTTATTAATATTTTTTGTTTGTTTGTTTGGTAATATGCTTGGGGTGTATCAGTTTGGGTGCTTCAATTGTGTAGGCTACATCTCGTCGGCTTCGAGATTTCGTAGGGAATTCCTAGGCATCCCTAAGGGTTTTCCTGTACAGTACAATATTAAGGTTGAGGGGAGAGGGGTGGGGTTGGGGTTGGTTTAGGTCTAGTGGTAAATGAATAGCAGCTACTACTAAGTCTAAACCTAACCAACTCCTCCTCCCTATAATATGGGACGTTCTGGGGATTTCCCTATCAAATCTCAAAGCCGACGAGATGTGATCGTAAAAAATTAAAGTACCCCAGTTTGCAGTTCAACTCTGGTTTGCATGGAACTGGTCTCTGTCACTCCCTATGAATGTATGCGACGGAGCGAAAAGATAAGTTGGAAAAATCAGCTGGAATGTATTCTCCCTGTTGAACTGTACATGCACTGTGTTTGTCAACATATTGTTCCCAAAATTTGCTATCTCCAGAGAAGAAAAAACAAACTAAAATGACAATGGCAGGAGATCAAATCCCTTCGACTGATGAAGACTGCAATGTTCTCATTTACATAATCCCAGAACTACGAGACTTGGCGTTCGTCGGCTCATTCAAAGACAGTGGTTATAAAACTGGGTGCCGCGAGGGTATGCCAGGAGTGCCGCGGCAAAAATCAAGAATTTATCTCAATCTGCTTGAGATCAGTGAAGGCAGCGGTTTAAAACAGAAATACAGTGAAGGAAGCCAAGAAGATTTCTGATTGCAGGTGTAATTAGAAGACAATCTTCTGGCAAGGTTTCTTTGCATTATCAACGTACGCTTACATGAAAAACAGATACAGTAGCAACCTTTAAGTGATTTGAGGGTACAATTAACAAAACTTCCCACAAATATAAAGGAGATAATGAAAAATTCATCAAAACAGTTTCATTCATCGCATTAAAGACAACTGATCATTTAAAATGTTCCTAAGTCTTGAAACCGCTCTAAGGGTATGTGTGCCACTAAAAACATTGTTGCTCGACAAGGGGGCTTAGGCGAAAACAGATTGAGAACCGCTGTTAAAAGATATGCAACCAGAAGGAAAAGCCCATAGAAATTGAGAGGACACAGTTGGTTTTTGTTGCATTGCAGCTACACGGTGATCGTTTTTATAAGAAATGATCCATAACAACAACAATCAACATGAGATGTCTATTGTTGCATAAGTAAAAAATTCCTTGTCAGCTGGAAATCGAAAAAAGAAGCCTAACGGGGCTGCCCAGGCATAATTTGGAGTTCAAAAAATACCCGAAATATTTCAAGATCCTCGCCGGTGCTCCGGAGTCCGTGCACTGCGCTGAGATTCTTCGAACTCAGACTTCGGTTAGAAGAAGAACGGAGCACTTATGGGTTACTACCCTTGTGTCATGATGTTGGTTAGTCTTTAAACTTTACCCTAGCTTTGAGACTTTCTTTTTCTGTAATTCTGATTTCTTCTTCTTCTTCTTTCGTTCGCTTGAAGTAGATTTTTTTATATCTGCAGTGTTGTCTCTAGTATGAACTTCACTGTCTTTTGTAATTCCGATTTTTATACTTGTTTCTATATACTCCTTTAATGTAAGTAGCCAACCCCTAGCTCGTGAATGCTTATTTTTTTCCTTCCTCCTTTCGTTAAACAAACTCCGTACATGAAACCGTGTGTTTTACAGTTCAAGAGATGTGTCTTTCCGCTGTTGTGTATATCTGCACGTCTGCTAAATAGAAAACTGCACATAAGACAAAGAGGGCACTGTCGAAAACGCAGTGTCGGTCCTTTTGTATTAATCCTTTCGCTCAAAGTGAAACCATACACAATGATTGGTTTTTAAATGAATGGATCAAACTTGAACTGTAACAGTGTAGGTAGTTAGAATATATTTTTATTCCTTGCTTAGTATTTCATCAGGTTTATGTATGCACTTTCACTGTAGACGTGTGATTTAGTTTTCATCATCATCATAAACCACTTCTGCCGTTAAGCGTCGTGGGGAGGAATAATTTGCGTTCCAGTGCACGTTAGCTGCCACTGGCTATTGCGTTTAGTTTTACCCAATTAAAAAAAAATTTTCTTTTTTTTAAGCATTACCGCTACTTATATTAGTAACAAGCAGCAAATGCAGGTGATAAAAGGGACTAGAGAGGTAAACTGCGAGCCATAGATGACAAATACCGGTACAGCAGAGTAGTGATGATAATGTTGATGATAATGATGATAATGATGGTGATGAGGAGGAAGGATGGTAAAATAAATAACGACACAACATTAGGATCATATAATTTATGTATATTTTTGTACTTGGCGATATTAAAATTATGTAATATGAATGTACGAATGTAAGTGTACATGCGGCTAAGAAGAAACCACATATCTCACAGTAAAAGTGGCTCTAATTAAACACTGCATCAGAGCATACAGACAGCTCTGGTAAAACGAAACTTTACATTTCACACACAGTTTTAGTGAAACCTTTAATCGCATTCTATTTCATTAACTGTTCTGACAAAACTCACTGTAGCTTTATCCTCCTCTCATCTTCCCGTATTTTCTTTTATCTTCCTTAGTAATATCTTATCTTTCATTCTGCTTATTTTTTCCCTATCTTCTTTCTCCTTCTCGCATAAGTTGTTTCTGTTCATAGTTCCAGGCCTTCTATTTTACAAATTGCTGTAACATAATCCACTGTCCCTTTTTATTTCACGTTAAGTCCTGAGTCAGAAATTCACATTCTGCTTCACACATGGTTCTGTTGAAACCATATGTCACTTTCCAATTCACAAACATTTATAATGGCAATATAGATGAGATTAACTCTATCACCTATTATTAAACTGTTTTAAAACAATGATTTTCTGTAATGAATTTAAATATTGCGGACGCAAACAATACATTGCACAAAGAATTTCCAGGCATATTTATCAACAATAATGTATGTAAGCAGCCAAGCCAAGAGAGCAGAAGGCAAGGACGGGCCTGGGTGCCCAATTCTTAACCATTTGAAAAAAAAAAAAAAAACTGTTGTTCATTCTTACTCCTTGTGATACATTCAGTTATTGCATCTACACCCTTGGTCCACATTCTTACTTCAGCTCATTCTGTCCCATAGTACTCACAATTTGTTTTAACTCTTCAGACAGACATAGCAATTATGTAAAGTAATATATTCTTTGAAAAAAAAATATTTCATGAATGTGACAATGATGCGGTGCAGAAAGAGTTACATCACATACATTATCTGCTCACTACTATTTGCATTACTGTTCTTATTTCTGCTACTGTCTCTAATACCATTTTCATTACTACTATTCTTAGTACTGCTATTCTTATTACTTTTATTCTCACCACTACCTTTCTCATTGCTACTATTTTCATTACAGTTCTAACTACTACTATTCTCATTACTGTTCTAAATATTGATATTCTCCTAATTTCTACTAATTTCCCTACTATTCTCATTACTACTATTCTCAATACTACTATTTTTATTACTGCGCTCATTACTGCTATTCCCATTATTGTTCTCATTACTACTGTTCTCGTTACTACTATTCTCATTACTACCATTCTCATTATTGTTCTAATTACTACTAAAGTCATTACTGCTACTCTCATTAAATACACGGAAATTGACTTGAGCATTTCTTTTTCTCTGACGGTAAAGGATGCTCGTGGGGCGTATTCTTCGGGATGCCCTGTCCGGTCTGCCCATCTTTCCCAGGGGATTCTAGTTCCTGAATTTTCTGGGCGTCGAGCAAAGCCTTCTCGCCTCTGAACGTTGATAAATGTGGTCGCGCCTAGAAAAAAATAAACGCGAAAGCTTGTAACATTAGTCTGTTGTCTTGAAAAATAGTCGATTTCGCGGTGCTTTGGTTTTATTCACACCAAACAAAGTCCAATATTTCAGGGGGTGGTGGATAAGCTGCATGCAGTCGTGGGACCTAGGCTGCACTCTCTCGTGGGCCGTAGGTGATTTGGGGTTAGGTTCCGTTCTAAATGTTTTGGGGTAGTTAAAAGCACCAAAAAGCCGGGAAACCCGATCTTACCACACTATAACATTTTGGACTGTCCCCTTGACGTCATCTGGGGTGACTTATTACGGAAGAACGCATTTGCTAGTGATGAATCTATTATCATCAAGTGTCTTGCCAGCTGGCGACGGCGTCCAGGCATCTCCCCAGATCTCGGTCTTTGGTGTTCTGGATTAAGTCCACTGATGCTATTCCTCCAACCCATCCACCATCATTTCTCTTGGTCTGCCTCTGCCTCTTCTATCAGTGATCTTTCCAATCGTCACGATATTTTAAGCCCTTTTGTACCATATAAGTCCACACATGAACGACTTTTGGCAGAAGACACGAGATTAGATGAAATAACAAAAGCAAGAATATGTGAACAAGGAATTAAGTGTAGATCCGGCAAGGTGGGACTGATGAGAGGGAGAGATCGGCGTGTGCAAAATCACTGTGCTACCGGAACAGTTAGCATCTACACCTTACGTCATTCGCTTCGGGACACGGAACATCTAAAGGTATGCCAGGTGTTTTATGATGTCAATTCTGAAATTAGTAAATCAGTAAGCGGTTTTTTTTTTCCCGGTGAGTGTTAATCAAGGAATGAAAACAAAAGGACTGTTAAGCAACAATCATTCATTAAAATTTAGTCGAATCTTTCAGCTGTTTTACTGTGCGACCCTGCTAATCACCGATTGAGTTCTCTAAACATAATATTAAAAGTATTCTCCTTGTTATTCTTCTTGCTGAGTTTGATTAAGAGTCGGCATACTAAGAATGGTCCTTTAAACGTTCCGTCCACATTTTCAGCAGTTGCTGTCAGAATGTGTGACCGTCTTGCTTTTCCGCAGATTGAACAAACAAAAACAAAAACAAAAAATTAAAAACCTTTACATTTTAGCACTAGTAATAGTAGTCGTCGTCTTCATCTTTCTAGCAGTAGTAGCAAGTTGTAGTAGCAGCAGCAGTAGTAGTAGCAGCAGCATTAGCAGTAGTAGTATTATCAGCAGTTGCGGTAGTTGGAAAAGAGTAGTAATAATAGTAGCAACAACTGCAGAAGTAGTGATGGTGGTGGTGATGGTATAATAATGGTATAATAATGGTAGTAGCCGCAGGTATGTGCCGTGCAATGCTTCAGAGAGCCGTTTGCATCAGGCGGCATTGTAAGGGGCGGCATAAGCAGGAAGATCAAAATGCAGTTTCAGCTTTTTATCTGACAACGCTAAGCTGTTAGGGGTGGCAATTGGATGTCTTGCATCATACTGACAAAATTTAAAATACATGAATGAGTAGCCGTAGTTAGTTGGCACCTTTCTGATACCTGCTCTTTCCCAATATCTCGATTTTTGTGATCTTGTCTTGTCTCTTAATGACTAGTTTTCTTACGCACTGCACGGATTGAGGTTTGAGGTTTGAAGAACTGACCAACATCATGACACTCGTGTAGTAACCCATAAGTGCTCCCTTCTTCTTCTAACTCAAGTCTGAGTCTGAAGTAGCTCAGCACAGTGCACAGGCTCTGTAGCACCGGCGAGGATCTGACTACCTAAAGACCAGGGAGATTTACTAGAAGTCTAAGTCCACGTGAAAAAATCCCAGCCCTTACCAGGGATTGAACTCGGAACCTCTAGCACTCCAGGCGGATACCATGCCTAGAGACCATGCAGCCCCTAACTCATTACACGGAATTTTTTTTAGCCCTTATGAGAAATCACTGGACTGATAAAAAGAGTAATGCAATTGTCTTAAAATAAAATGACTCACGAACAGAACTGATTACCCATACATGAAAGAGACAATCTACATTCTTTGGTCATGTGGTGAGAAGGGGTACTTCGTGACAGTAGAAAGTCTGATGGGAGGAGAGGCAGAGGGAGACAGAGAGAAAAGATCCTGGATAGTTTGACATCATGGCATGGGGGATCATTTGTATCAGAAATGACTGCGTGTACATGAGACAGAAGGTTATGGATATACATGACTACCAACGTCACACCTCATGGACTTTAAGAAGAAAAAATACTATTATTTTTTTTAATATTAAGATTTTTTTTATTATATGGAAGTAAAGTACCCATTTCCACGCCTTTCAGGTGTATTGGGTATATAGGGCTAGACCTATATTTAATAGACCAATCGACACTTAGTAGATGATGTGGTTAGCATCACGCCGGTCGTCTTTACTTCCGAGGACTGTACCTGGTACCCACTCAGCGCTGGGTCTACCAGGAAGCGAAGATCATTGTTAAAAAAAAAAGCCTGGCCCCCGTCAGAAACTGAATCCACGACCTTCGGACCCGCAGCCACGCCTCTAGCCGCTTTACAAATATATGGAAGTGGTTGCAGGAAATGAGGCAGACGAAGAACAGATAGACCCAGAAGCGTGGAGAAAAAAAGTCCCAGAAGAACAACCACAGAAATAAAACGGGAAGTGAGGAGGAAAAACAATAGGAGGAGAAGGCAAAAAAAATGGAATTTGAGAAACAAACTATAGAGAATATAGGAAGAGGAGAAGAATAGGAGAAAGATATTACTGACGGGAGAGAATAGAAAAGGATTATGAATAAGAAAGAGAGAAAGGAAAGAGAGAGAGAGAGAGAGAGGAGAGGAGAGAGAGGAGGGAGGGGAGAGAGAGAGAGAGAGAGAAAGGGAGAGAGAGAGAGAGAGAGGAGAGAGAAAACAGAAGAAGTAATAGTACAAGATACATAATGTCTATTACAATTTATAAACTGCGTGGATTTTTTTCATGGTATGAGACATCGGAGGTCGACCAGGCCTAAAATGGGTACCAGGATTGGCTGTCTTGGGGAAGTAAAGACGGCCAGCGTAATGCTTACCACATTACCCACCTAGTGCTGATGGTCTGTAAAAATATGGGCGCTCTTCCCATATACTCGATGCGCCTAAAGGCGTGAAAAACGATCTTTACTTTACTTTTTTTTGTCCCCACAATTTATAGACAGTACCTTGAGAATAAGCTTCGGATTCCTCCATGGCTGACTTTGTAAATTTGATGGTACAACATTTGGACGCAGCAATGATGCTCTGTTGGGTCGTACCTTAGTGAAGTCGATCTTCATGTTTTTCTGTGTGAATTGTTAATTTGAATAGAAAACAAAACAGCTGCTAAGGAGTTAGAAAAGAAACTGACCCTCTTTTTTTATGTCTCTGGTGGAGCCGCTAAATTGTGAACAAAAAGTAAAGAACCCTTTTCCACGCCTTTAATCATATATGGCATATAGGGCTAGACCTATATTTTATAGAACAATCGGCACAAGATGGGTGATGTGGTTAGCATCACGCCGGTCGCCTTTACTTCCCGGGACTGCACCCGGTACCCACTCAAGGCTGGGTCGACCTGGGAGCCAAAGTCATTTTTAAAAAAAAAACAGTCCGGCTCCGCCAGGGAGCGAACCCATAACCTTCCGATCCGCGGCGAGCGACTAGCCCCTCCGACACGGCGACTCCCTCCCGTATGTTGTGCGTGACCTAATTTTTTTTAAGACCAATCGCTACTCCATGGGTGATTCGGTCAGCATGACATCAACCGCCTCTACTTCACCGGGAATAACAACCTGGTACCCATTTCGGGCTGGGTTTACTTTGGACCAACTTCACTTTTCTAAAAAATTTTGTTTCGAAGCAAATTTGAGCCCTACACGTTGGGGATGGCAAACGAGCGTCCAGCCATTTTGGTTGGCTCTGCTTCCCCAGGAAGTTTCAAAACGACTTCCTGATCCACTCATTCATTTGCTGGTCTGCCAAGCCTGCATCACGAAACTGGACCTACAGTCACTAATAAGTTTTTAATAGGTTTCAATCCGTTACTGATTTAAACCTTTAATCAGAATGTTTCTCCTCTTTAGGGAATGTTAAAAGTGAGCCTGTACTTTAAACTGTTATTATGACGTCATCGTGTTCGTTTGCACTGCGATGTCACGTGCTTAACACATTTACATTTTTCACAATAATACTGACAAGTTACAAGAAAATGTTATCATCATCATCAGCATTAAGTGCCTTGCCAGCTGGCATAGGCGTCTATGCATCTTCCCATATCTCGGTCTTTGGTGCTCGGATCAATTCCACTGATGATATACCTCCATGCCACTGTCTTAAGCTATCCACTATCATTTCTCTTGGTCTGCCTCTGCCTCTTCTACCAGTGATTTTTCCAGTCGTCACGATATTTTCCAGTGCTCCTTTTCTCATCATCGGCTCTGTGGCTAAGTCGATGCGAACGCTTCGTATTGCCGGGATGCCGGGTTCGATCCCAGCTGCGTGCCATGCGCCTTGCTTTGGTTTCGACAGTGGTATCAAGAGAGCCGACTGTCTAGAAAGCAACAGCCAGGGGCTGTTGGGGTTGGTTCTGCAACGTTCTGTAAAGGATACGCAACTAACCTAACCTTTTCTTATCACATGACCACAGAACTGTGTCCCCTTCTCACTGTTGCATAAAATATTATACTTTCATTAGCGATTTCTTTACGAACATTGTTAGTTATTCTGGCAGTCCAAGGTATTCGCAAAATTATTCTCAAGAAACAAATCTCAAAAGCATCTAAACTATTCTCATTTGTTACAATTGCCCGGTTATTGCA